GAGATAAGGATTTGATTCTATTTTGAAGTTTGACTTCTACTCTTTAAATATAAGAAAGATAGAAAATTGTAGACACAATTTTTTGACACATGATTCAGCCCTAAGTTTGTTGTGGCCGAAATTTCTCATAGTGAAAAATAGAGAGCAAATTTTTCTCCAAAAATTCCACATCGTGCATGCATTGGTGTTTGTGAAAATTCGAGTGTTTCAGAAACCTATTTTGTCTCACGTGTGCCCACACACACGTTTACATGGAATCAAGGAATTGACGTGGAAGACTTTGGTATTCTAAACACAAAGCTTGGAGCAAGGACTGTTCGTGGTCAAAGAAATTCAAGTTGTCATCCGAGTCGGCTACCAGGTATTTTTTCGGTTGATCCTTGAATCATATAAATTAATGTGATTAATTTATTCGTGCATAAATTAATATAATCTATAGAGTATGTCAAAAGTTTTATGAAAATTTTTGTTATACACGATCCGCTGTTTCCTACCACGCTTCCGCCGCCGAATTCGATTCGGCAACCAACAGAGGGCACGAGCATTAACTTGGCCGATCCTAATACGACTGACAATGGATATTTTTTCAATCCCGGTCTCCACTGTTGCAGCCGAACAAGCATTCAGTACAACCGGCCGAATACTTGAAGAACGGAGAAACGCATTGCAGCAGGATATTGGGGCACGAGCATTAACTTGGCCGATCCTAATACGACTGACAATGGATATTTTTTCAATCCCGGTCTCCACTGTTGCAGCCGAACAAGCATTCAGTACAACCGGCCGAATACTTGAAGAACGGAGAAACGCATTGCAGCAGGATATTGTTGAAGCTTTGGTGTGCATCAAGGATTGGGACCGTTCCGACCAATGCTTACACGATCAATCTCACCGGCAAACCAAGAATGGATCGACGAATTTAATATATTAACTTTTAATTTTCAAGATGATCCTTCTGCTTCAAATTAAATTTTATTATTGTAATTTGTAAATATTTATTTACTTTGTAATTTCTAATTTGTATAGTGTTTATTGTAATCTTGTATAGACTTTGTAAGTTCGTCAAATTTGTAATTCGTCCCCCAATGATTGCACTCTTTTTTCCTTACCAAGTTTTTATCCCAATTGGGTTTTTCTTGGTAAGGTTTTTAATTAGGCAATCATGAATTACAAATTTAAAAATCAATAAAGAAGTAATTTTTTTATATAGTTCGTGTGTTCATTTCATATTTCAAATTGTAATATACACATTGTAATTATACAAATACTTATTACTTATACAACATAAAAATAATATATATAAAAAAAATAAATTTCGGGTAGCCGGTCGGGCATCGGGCAGCCCGACTAGGCACGGGCAGGCATCCTCTGCCCGAAGCCCGTCCATGGGCAATTTTCGGGTCGGGTCGGGCAACCCAAATTTTCGGACAGTTCGGGTTCGGTCATCGGGCAAAAATTTAGACTTTTCAGTGGTCACGGACGGACCGTCCAAAGTTTCAGCACTAATTACTATTAACACTTATTCAAAACTATAATATTTTGGCAAATACGGTAACTATTTATGTAAAACTTTCTATTATTATGCAATAATAATGTGATTATTTAGGTTAAATTTCAAAAATAGTTTGTCGATTTTACTGTTAGGGACCAAAACTGTAGATAAATAAAAGTTCAAGAATTAAAAATTGTCTACATTAAAAGTTTGGAGACCAAAATGTCACTATGTTCAAAGTTCATAACCTTTTAAATTTTTAAAATATTTTTAAAGCACATTTTATGTAACTTTATATTTTATCCTTTATTGAGTAGCCACATGACCCTGTGACTAAAATTATTAAAAAATTAACGTTTCAATGATGAAAAATACTAAAATTGTAATTTATTGTAAACTCTAAAAGAGAATTTTATGTGATTATGAGTTGTAAATACAAGTGAGTTGATGGCTATTTTTAAGAGGTAAAAATTTGAAACTAACTCTTTTGTAGAATTAACTTCACTTCAGTTCACTTTCCTAAGAGAAAAAAGACAAATACATTTTAGAATATATGGGTCTAGATTTTTACACTTTTACTCCTCATCAATATTCTTTTAGTCAAATAACTAATTAGTTAAAATGGTATAAATTAAAAATAAATGGTAAAATTTCAAAGCCATACACTATAAGAATAAATTCAACAATTTTTCCATTTCTCCTTCCCTAGACCCATTTTGTCTCATTAGTTAGATCACGTCATCGCGCCTCATTTTATTTTGAGTGTATTATGAGATTGATGGCTCATTTAGTTCACTGATTTGAGTTTTTAATTCGAGTTGATACGTAAATTTATGTGAGAGTTTTTTACTGTAGTAATAAATGTGACTGTTTACTATAGTAAAACTTAAATCGGTGAAATAAACGGATCATGAACCTCCGCCCTCACAAACTCAAACCTTGTTCCAACCTAACGACCAACCCTGTGCCAATACATGAGACAATACTATAATATTTCAATAAAACTAAAACAAAACAATTAGCGGGCGGTTTCAGATTGCAGACGTACTCGACAAAGACCCAAGTTTATCATTCATGCCCCATTTGAGTCGAGTGCGTAAAGATAATCCGATTGATAGGTAAAATTATCATCCATAATCTTCTCTTTTTTCTCATATTAAAAAACAAAAAAATCTACAATTGTATTTTCTCTTCAAAACTCCCCCCACTTTTCTTTTCCTCCCATTTTTAACCCCTACCAAACGTGCGATGTTAACGTCTCTCGTCCAGGACATTATCCAAGAGGGATCAAAAATCTAATCATATGGGAAATCCCCATTCGATCACTACCAAAACGAGAAAGAATCTTATTGATAATCGGATACCCAGAAAATAAAGGACAAAGCTTTCAAATCCAATATTTGATTAGATAATCAAAGAGAAAATGTCCTAATTACATTGACCTATTTCATATCAATGTATTTCTACTCTTCATATTCATTTCAAATGCTTATTACTAATTGAGCAATCTCACCGTCCCACCAAATTACACATTCAATAATAAAAAGATTTTCATTTTTGCTAGATAAAAAGAAACCCTTTTAACAGGTTGAATTTGTCAAAACTAAAACCTAAAATCTTCACAGTTTCTAGTAGTCAAACTTCAAGTTCTGAAGTGCAAAGAACGTTCAGCTATACAGGTCCCTATAAATGTTTCAGCCTCCTAAACCTAATTTTCAGCTACTTTATCTTGAGTTTCACCACCAGAAATACTACTTGGGGTTGCCACGATAGAAGTTGCACAAGTTTTGCTATAATGTCCAACCTCACCACATTTCCTGCATTTTCGAATAGTTCGATCCGCACCAGTTGACGGTTCCTTTTGCTGAGCAGTTTGATCTTCTCCAGCTGACGGTTCCTTTCGCTTCTTTGGCCTTCCACTTGACAATCCACTTGCGCGTCGCTTATATGTGCCACCGTCAGAGTTAAGAGCAATTTCTCTCGCCCTCCAAGCCTTCTCATAAGTCAAGTTCACCCCAAATTCTTTTCTCACTTCTTCAATGATCTCCTTTGGCTTATAAGTTCGATCGGTGCCTTGACACTTGGACTTCATATGTTGGCCAATAACCCAACTACTAGCTTGCCTATGAACATTGTAACGACTTTCTATTGAACAAGTATGATCTTTCACAAACTTTCTTATTTGGAAAGATGTGTTGTCTCGATACCTGCATGCCCGGAGTTTCCATTGGCAATTCTCGTCTATGCACGATATTACCAAGAACTTTTTACATGACCTCTCCACTTTGTACTCAAAATTTTTCCTAATTGCAAGCATACTCAACTTTTCTTGCAACTCCTTCTTACTCGAGAACACTTGTCTTACTTCTAACTCGTCAGAATGCTTGGCAAAACTAGAATTCAAACTCACGTCGTTTTTTTGCTGAATAGTAAAACTCGCAGTTAAGTCTTCTTTCGTGGTTACCCACTGCACAGGCTTGTGTGAAGCTTGGGGCTGAGAAGAGCGAGCAGCAGCAGTAGCAGGACCAACAGTAGTGATGGGATCAACAAGAGTAGCGTTACCGGTGCTTTGGGGCTGTCCTACACCAATTTGAGGCTCAACATCTTCAGGAGCTAATTTTGCGGATGATGTTCCATCATCGTCTTCATGCTCATTGTTGACGCAAAAGCTCGGTTCATTTTCTTCGATTCCAGTGAGGAGGCAAATTGGTTCACAGGTCTGTTCTTGTGTTTCAGGCATAATATTAAATGTTTGGCTGCTTCCCTCTCCATAAGCAACTTGTTGATCATGGGAACTTCTTCGCTCCAAAGTGACGCATAGTGGGGTTCGGAGATTGACTTTACTAGAGTTTTCGCCAATGAAAAAGTTAACATCATCGTCATTGACAATCTCAGCAGGAGCAACAGGCACGCTTGAGGCATACAAGAACTTCATACTAATCCAGAATTCATTGTGGTCAAGATTAAGAAGGCAATATATTCTATCCAATAGCTCCCCATAAGTAATGTTCTTGGGAACTGAAATTCCTTTTGCTTTAGAACCATCAAACCTAAAAGTGCCTGTCTCCGGTGATTTAACCCATTCTCCATCATAAGAAACCATTATCCGCACTGCCGTCATCTATAAAATAGCAAATGATCAAATGAATATCATCATGTAATATGCTAATCAGGTACCATGATCAAATTAGAAAGATACAACTGAGATGCTTTCAATGTGTCCAATCAAGCAATCACTTGATGAAATCGCAATTACATGAGATAAGGCCTTTACGATTATCAAACAAACCCAAACGAGTATCAATTATCAAAAGCATATTTACACATTACACAAATCAAGAATGTGTTGTCATCAAGATTATTAGTGATATTATATCAGTCTTCATAAAGTAAATGCTCAATGGTGGTTTAATCAAAATTCAACATCCGTATTGACCTTCGAATTCTTATCATAAAGGTCTGTTTTTGCCAATGTGGTTTTTTTTTTTTTCCTTACAAAAGTAAAACATATTTTCTGCAGGATTTAAAACTTATAAAATATAATCACACATTACGTTTGGTTGGAGGATTCAAACCATATGATTTGAACCATTTTCGATTTACGTGAATTTATTGTGAGAAAAAATACTGTAGCAAACCACGAATCATGATTCGAATCAGGAAACGAATCCCTCTACCAAACATTAATTTAATCAGCATGTAGGTAAGAATCTATCATCTATGCAATGAATAAATATATGAATATCCATAAAACAATACAAACAAAAAAATGAAAATCTATGCGTCGTAAAATGTTCTAAAACAGAGAAAATTATGGAGAGAACTATAATATCTTGAGAAATTTTAATAGGGTTCTGAAATCCCCTTCTAAGAATTTTGTTCCATTATCTTGATGTAGATGACTGTCCCACGTCACGACCGTTTTGAGTCCCGCTACTTAGTAGTGCTATAGCTAGAATTATGACCGTAGAATCACAATCTGGTTCATCTGCAATGCGCTTCAAGTGCAGGCTACCAAACAAGGCACTTAATCCTAAATTTATAAAAACAATGTGGCAACTCAAATAAAACACCATCTAAGTAAATTCAGCCAGTGAGAGACATATTTCTCAATGCCTAAACAAGTTATATGGAGAAAATAAGAGAAACAATGATGGTGGATGCAAAGAAATCCCCCTCTCTGTTTTTTTCTTTTTTTTTTTCACTTGGGATGGTGTGGATTTTCCGATAAAAAGGAAGATAATTCTGAAAAGATTTGCATATTGACATCAGATTTTATACGAAATTCCTAAGAATCCAATGAGAAGTTGATTAAGGTAAAACTTCAACAGATAATCAGAATTAAAATATTTCAAACGAATGTTAAATTATATAAGTAACACAATGAGAGTTCAAACCAAGTAAATCTTCTCTCCCAATATCACTATAACCAATAAAATGAGCCATGGAAACTCAATTAACTGATAGAATTATAGAATGAATAAAATGGGATTCGTCGATAAAAGATTAATTAAAGCAGAGGATAATAATGAATATAGAATTGCAAATAACAAGCGATTATTTCATATGAAGCTATATTTGATAAGAAGAAAACAGGAAAAAAAAAAAAAAAGATACATTCAACCTTACTGGAGAAACAATAACAAGAACGGCGAGGCTCCAAAACCCTGAGTTTTTCCTCCTCTTCCTCTGTATTTCTCTTCTAGCCATCGTTTTTTAATTTTAATTTTAATTTTAATTTTATTTTGGTACTGTTTTTGTTGGTTTTTTGGGCCCTCTATCTATACGGGCTTAGCGGCTTAGGCTCCAAGGTCTTATGGCTCGTGAATTTACTGGTACTACTCATTTTGTGAGTATAATTATTTAATTATAAGATTATCAATTAAGAGAAAAAATTTAAAATCTTAACTCATTCACTTTTAAAGAATATTTGTCAAAATTACTCTATTTTGTTTGATCGAATTTTAAGGGTAGGCTAGTTCCTCTAGTAAGGGTTATATAAAAATTTAGGATAAATGGGACAAAGAGAGAAATATTTGTAGAGGTTGAGATTTTTACCCCTTATTTTTTTATTAATATCTTTTAATTAAATATTTATATTACTTAAAATAGTATTAATTAAAAATAAAAGATAAAAATCTAAATTTATACACGTAAGTTCAACAATTTTCTCATAAATAATAATAATAATAAAGAATGTCCCTTTAAATGAGGCATATAAGAATGTCCCCTTCAATAAGACTGTGAGGGACAGAATTGAAGGGTTTAGAATTCTACCTTCTCAAAGGTTAGTAAAAATATATATTTTTCAAAATTATTTTATTAGTCGTCGTCAGTAAATTACTCACAGTAATCAACTAGATTATGTTGTTAAATTAATCATGACCACCGGTCGACCCCAATCGCTAGAGTAAACATTTGTTTTTTTAAATTTATAAATTCCTATTGGGTACGACAACGATGTGATTAGAGTATGAGCACATCAAGAACATGACAAGAGTAAAATTAACATATGAGCGTGTTAAGTGCACGACATAGAAAAAATAACCGTGGACCTGACTTAATGCAATAAGGGTTGAAGAAAAAATAAAAAATTTACTCTTGAGAGTACATGAATCTAGATTTTTACTATTTATTCTTGATATATACCCTTTTTTCTTGATATATACCCTTTTGTTAGTGTAATTATTTGACTAAAAATGTTATGAATTAGAGGTAAAAGATAAAAATCCTAACTTTTACATTTTTAAAGAATATTTGTCAAGATTACTCTATTATGTTCGGTCAAATTTTAAGGGCATGCTAGTTCCTCTAGTGAGGGTTATATAAAAATTTGGGGCAAATAGGAAAAAGAGAGAAATATTTGTAGGAGCATGTTCTTTTGGAGTGTGACTTGAGTATAGTTTTTGAGTTGAATTTGAGTTATAACTTGAGTTGAAGTTGTAACTTGAATAAAATTGAGTAAAGTTGAATAAAGTTGGAACTTAAAAGAACGTGAACTTGAATAAAGTTGTAACTTGAGTTTCAATTTTTTTTGAGTTTTGTTGCAAAAGAACGACCTAAATTTACCCCTTATTTTTTTATCAATATCTTTTTAGTTAAATATTTATATTAGTTAAAAGAGTATTAATAAAAAATAAAAGATATAAATCTAAACTAATGCGCGTAAATTCAATAATTTTCTCATAAATAATAATAAAAAAGGAATATCCTTTTAAATAAAGCATATAAGAATGTCACCCCTGTAATAAGACTATATGAGGGGCAGAACTGAACTGAAGGGTTTAGAATTCTACCTTCTCAAAGGTTGGTGAAAATATATTTTTTCAAAATTATTTTATTAGTCATCGTCAGTTGGATGATCTATTAAATTACTCCCAGTAATCAACTAGATTATGTTGCTAAATTAACCTTGACCACCAGTCAACACCAATCGTTGTAGCAAACATTTATTTTTCTTAAATTTATAAATTCGTATTGGGTACGACAACGACATGATTAGAGACATGACAAGAGCAAAATTAACATATGAGCACGTTAAGTGCACGACATAGAAAAAATAACTGTGGACCTGGCTTAATGCAATAAGGGTCGAAGAAAAAATAAAAAATTTATTCTGGAGAGTGCATGAGTCTGAAACTTTACCTCTTACTCTTAATATATACCTTTCTGTTAGTGTATTTATTTAACTAAAAAATAAATTAATAGTAAAGAGTAAAAATCATGACGTATATACTTTTAAGGGCTATTTAATATGATTACCCAAAGTTGTAAATTGGCATGACATGCATTACAATACATGATTACCCGAAGTTGTAAATTGGCATGACATGCATTACAATTATAAAATGGACTGACATGAGCACCATACAAAATATTAAGAGTTAATTACATATATGTCTATTTTATAATAGACGAAAAAAAGAATGTCAACAAATTGTTTTATTTATGTAGAAGTCTGTAATATTACCAGTAATGACATTTCTATCTCTTATTAACTATCTTTTAAAATTAATTATATAAATTCACAACCACCCAAATAAAAAAAAAGTACACTTAAATTTATATTATATCAATAACCATAAAATGATGAGATTAATAATATTGTTAAATTAAAAATTGGAAGGTCAAAATGATCATTTCGCGTAAATATTTCAAACATTAATTGGTCTAAAACGATCGTGTACAAAGCCGCTCCATTTGATATCTCTAGTTTCAAATTTTTTATTTTGAAAAAGACGCGTCCTATTTTAGGATTTACGGTTTAGGATTAATCCACAAATTTACCCTCCACAAAAATTGACAATTGTTCATTTATCTTTTGCAATTAGTAAATTATTAATTGTTTATTTATCGTTTACAATTAGTAAATTATTAATTCATATTGGACAGCGAGAGGAAAGGTATATTGGACAGATTCATAATCCGCTCTTTGTATATTGTTTCCGGTATGATTTTAGGGTTTACCCTCAAAACGTATGTTACAACCCACTTCTATAATCCAATTGCCAACCACACACGACCAAAGTGTTTGTTTTCCTTCAACTTTTTCGACAGTAAGCTAACTGAAGGATTAACCGTCGCACCAAGATAAATCAGGATCAATTTTTAGGATGTTTTAATTATCAATGATCAAAATGATATCTAGTGTATAGTTCAGGGACCATTTTTCTGAATTAATCTTAAATTAAAAGAGTTTTCATGGTTAGTTTCAATGAATTTTATGAACTTCCCTTGATATGCACTAGTAAGCACTAGTAAGTCCCTTGTCTACCCGCGTAGGAGATCAAAAATTCTTTAAAGGCTAAGAGCCCATTTAATTTGTTGAGTCGAGTTGGTATGTGATTTTATATAAGAACTTTTTACTGTAATAAAAATATTAAATATGACTGTTTCTGTGAGCTTTTTATTATAGTAAAATTTAAATTCTAAACTCAAATTAGTAAAATAAATAGAACTTAAATTCATCAAGCTGAAACCTAGGAATTTTAAGTTGTCAAGTACACAGAACCTTCATTTACTCCTTGAAAAGAAAAAAGAGTAGGAGAGAGATCGGTCAAATGAATGGAGCTGAAACTAACAACTTCAAGTTGAACCTTCATTTACTCCTTGAAAAGAAAAAAGAGTAGGAGAGAGATCGGTCAAATGAATGGAGCTGAAACTAACAACTTCAAGTTGAACCTTCATTTACTCCTTGAAAAGAAAAACTCCGCCTTCATTTACAAGTGCCTAGAAATGTTTCTGTACAAGAGATCGGTCAAATGAACGGAGCTGAAACTAACAACTTCAAGTTGAACCTTCATTTACTCCTTGAAAAGAAAAACTCCGCCTTCATTTACAAGTGCCTAGAAATGTTTCTGTACAAGCTCCAATACTGTTAATTACTTTATCCGGTACCCCCAGAAATCCTATTCGGTTGCTGCTCTCTAGGAACTGCACAAGTTTTGCGGTTATGTCCGATCACACCACACCTACCGCACTTGTTTCGAGAAGATCGATCTTTTTTGGCCGATAGTTCCCTTTGCTCCTCTGGCCTTCCACTTTACAATCCATTTAGATGTCGCTCATCAGGCCTGCTGTCGGAGTTTAGAGCCATTTCTCTTGCCCTCCAAGCCTTCGCATAAGTCAAGTTCACCCCAAGTTCTCTTCGCACATCTTCAATAATATCCTTTGGCTTATATGTTCGATTCACGCCTTCACACTTTGACCTTATGAGTCGGCCAATGAGCCAACTGTTAGCTTGTCGATGCTCATTGTTACGAGTCTCCGTCAAACAAGAATGTTCCTTAACAAACTTTCTTATTTGAAAAGATGTAGAGTCTTGGCTGTCTTGCATCTTGACAGCATGAAGACTCCATTTACAATTTTCATCTGTGCATGCTACTACAAGGAGTTTTGTTGTTGATCTCTGCACTTTAAAGCTGAAATTTTTCCTAATAGCAAGCAAACTTAACTTTGCACGCAACTCCTCCTTACTCGAGAACAATAATCTTGTCTCCAACTCTGCGGATTGAGTCGCAAACCTTGCAGTTACTGCTTCATTTGTGTTTGCAGCCGTAGCTTCTTTTCTTCTTGCAGTTAAAGATCCCCTCATGGTTACCCCCTCCGTCCGATTGTGTGAACCACGGGGTTGATGAGAGTGAGAAGCAGTAGAAGCACCAACAGGGGTGATGGGATCAACATCAATCGCATTATGAGTGCTTTGAGGATGCCTGTACCAAGTTGGGGCTCAATCGATACATCTCCAGAGGCTAATTCTGCAGAAGACGTCTCAACATCATCGTCATCTTCACGCTCATCATCCACACAAAAAACTGGCGCGTTTTCTTCAATTCCAACAAGGGGAACAAATGGCACATAAGCCTGTTCCCGTGTTCCAGGCATGGCATTAAAAGTTTGGCTACTTCCCTCCCCGTAACCATTCTGTTGAACGTGTGAACTCCTCTGTTCTATAGTAACACAGTGGGGTTCGAAGGGAAACATTACCAGAGTTTTCGCCGATAAAAAAGTTCACATCATCGTCATTGACAATCTCAGCTGGTGGGACAGGCACACTTGAGGCATACAAGTTGATATACTTTATTCAATAGCCACTGGTAAGTAATACTCTTTGGAACTGACATTCCTTTTCCCTTTTGAACCAGTGAACTT